GTGGGCATCTCGAGGTGCCTGGCGGCCTACTGCAAGGAGGACACCCCCAACGCCTGCTTCGATGACATCACGGAGGAGGACAAGGCGGAGGCCAAGAAGTACGGCGACCTCATGGGCCAGAAGGCTCTTGGAATTCTGACTGGTTGAGCCCAAACTCGCAGACAGGTTTCACAACTTGCCTGGCATATTTTCGTCCCTTGAGCCTGGCATGAAAGCTCCAAGGGGCCACGACGATCTTGCCGAGCCCGTTTTAATCACACGGGTTTCTGCAGGAACCTGTACGAACCTTGCATGAGACTTCCACTCAAAGTGTGACTGTACAAGTCTCAGATGGATGAAGTGTCCGATCTGGGAAAACACGGAAGCAACAGAAGCCTGCACCTCTGTCTGATGCTACGACTTTTGGGGTGATGCTGAGGTTTGTGTCCGTCGTAGTTTGCGGCCCAACACCTGTGACGTGCTTTGATCATACCTTCTACCTTTTCCCACGGACATGGGGCCACGCGTCTGCGATTGCAGCTCTTGAAGGTGTTGGCTTGGGGTGTCGTGTCAAGCAGTTCCCGCCCAGGGGTGCCGCTTCCAGCGAAGTGAAGAACGCCATCGAGGGCAAGTCGGCTGATGAGATCGCGGCCGCTCTGAAGGCCGCGTTGTCTCGCTCCTGCGACTTCGTCGTGGTTTGTCTTCGTTTAACCAGGAGCTACCCGCGGACCAGCTGGCAAAGGTCAAGGAGGCGGTGGGCAAAGGCACCATCGCAGATGTTCAAGAGTGATCAAGCCAGTTCCTGCTCCGATTATGACGTTCCCACAGCGGAACATCCAAGATCCTCTGCGCAGGTGCTCCTGCAGGCCAGGCCAGTGGCCTTCAGTGGCCTTACTTGGCCTAAGCTGTGGAGATTTGAACCTGCTTGCCAGCTGCCTGCCCGGGCCCGGTCGACTGCTCCAAGATTTCGGTCGTGGGAAAGGCACGACACACGTTCTGTGTGCAGGGCAGTCAACTCAACACCCTGCCAGCTTTGTAGAAGTTGTCTCCACTCTCCTATCAGGCCCTTTCTCGCCGGTAATTTTTCGCGCAGGACTACAAGGGCCTCTTGGAGCAGCCTGCGGAACCAAAGTTCAAGGCTTGGAGAGCTCAGAGCACTTGGCTCACATGGCGGCCTACCCTGGACTTGGGGGCATTTCCAGGGAGCTCTGGCGCAAATCTTCGTCCGCTCGCAGCCTTATGGAGGCGGGCTGATGAACAAGTTGCTGGAGACCGTAACATATACAGTACCTGCTCAGCACACTTGGCTAACAGATGGCCTGACCTTTGCCCAGGATCTGACAAGAGCAACAATGGCTGGCTCCTCAGTGTCTTGAGCATTTCGTAGCATCTTGTCAGGCATCCGATTTGAGCAGTTTGTTGTTGCCTCTGCTGTTGCACGACGTGTCAGCACCATTCAGACGTCTCCTGTTCGCATGAAATCCACTTTCCACTCTTCAGTCCTTCAGGCCACCGCTACGACTCTATTCCCTTCGCCAATGGCATGATCACTTCCGGCATGAGCTGCCAGTTGAGACTGGGTGGACATGTTGAAATCCTGACGACAGCATAGACATCTGAACACTTCGCCCCAGCAGTCAGCGCTTCGTGGGGTCGTGTCTGCAAGGATTCACTACACGCATGAAGAGCATGCTGCATTCTTCGAGTTGTGCAAGAGCTTCAACTTCATCATCGTCCGCTGCAATCCAGGCCTCAGATGTGCCTTTGCAGTCCTTGGCATGCCGTCCGGAGTTCGA